TGGTACCTGATTGTCCGACCATGGCCACCACAGCAGAAAAGCTTCCCCCTTGCTCACCCAAAGGATGCTTGTGAGGTGGGCAGAGGCAGATGTGTCTACGAAGGGACTTACGAATTTGGTTCGGGTACCAAAGCCACAGCCCGGAACTTGGAATCGCTGAGCAGGACTGACAACGGCAGGGCATTCTGTCTGGAGGGCTTTCATTCACGGGGCCTCCAGAACACGATTCTTGGGCTAAGAAGGCGTGGCGCATGTCCACCCACTCGAGCCACTGTTTCGCACCTGGCTGCAGCTGGTGGGCCTCAGGGCTCTTGCAGCAAGAGCAGCCACTCACTGCATCCCCCGAAAGCTACCCCGGCCCTCGCAGACATTGCGACATGCAAAGCGGGCAGCCAGGCTCTGGAGAATACTGAAGCAGGAGAACTCGGGCTCTGTAGCCCAGAGCTGCAACAAGCAGGGAACTATTTTTGAAAGGCAGCAGCTCATCCTGGGCTTGCCCCTTCCCACCTTGTCAAGCTGGGAAGGCAGAGAATCCAGCATGGAGCAGACCGAGTTCTCTGCCAAAGGGGAATTACATAGAAACATAGAAACAGAGCGAGTCAGAAGGGGTCTCCCGGGCCATCTAGTCTGACCCCCGGCTCCAGCCGGCTCCGCTCACGACATGCCCACCATGTGGACGTCCAGCCTATCCTTGAACACCCGCACCAATGGGGCCTCAACGACCTCCCGTGGAAGCCCATTCCACACCCTCGGGGTCCTGACTGTCAGGAAGTTCTTCCTGGCATCCAAATGGAACCGTGGCTCCCTGAGCTTTGCTCCGTTGGAGCAGCAGACCGAGTTCTCTGCCAAAGGGGAATTACATAGAAACAGAGCAAGTCAGACGGGGTCTCCCGGGCCATCTAGTCTGACCTCCGGCACCAGCCGGCTCCGCTCACGACATGCCCACCATGTGGACGTCCAGCCTATCCTTGAACACCCGCACCGATGGGGCCTCAACGACCTCCCGTGGAAGCCCTCCCACACCCTCGGGGTCCTGACTGTCAGGAAGTGCTTCCTGGCATCCAAACAGAACCGTGGCTCCCTGAGCTTTGCTCCGTTGGAGCGCGTCAGCTGCTCATCTGCTGTGCATCTTGGGTTCTGAGGATTGCCCCAGATTCCCATCTGATGCTCTGCATCAGAACAGGCCTTTGCAGTAACAGTCCAGGCCCCCACCTGGCAGACCAGGCAGTGGGGCCCTCAAACACAGCACAGCTGCCTTCCCAAATGTGGAAAAAGTGAACAAATCTACATTATCATCCAATGAGCCCCTGCCCTCCTGCAAGACTACAAGTATTTATTCATTTATTTATTGCATTTCCACCCTGCCCCTCAGCCCAAAGTCTCTCTGGGTGCTTTATGAATCAAAATTACAGCAATTAGTATAAAACACACGATGAAATCACAACAGTGTAATAAATGAACACAAGAGTATAAAAAAATAATCATGCAATAATCTGCCCTCTGCCACCGCAGCTAAAACCATCTCAGAGGTGCAATAAAAATATATTAACAGATGAAGATAAAAATCTAACTATCAAACTACTGGGAGAATAAATAGGCTCTCACTGAAAGGAGCAAAGAGTGGGCACCAAGTGCGCCTCTTCGGGGAGCTGATCTCACAACGGAGAAGGCCCTTCCCCTGGTAGCCACCCCCCTTGCCTCCTTTGGAGGGGCTCCCTAGAAGGACCTCTGCTGATGACCTTAGGGTGGGAGTAGGCACATGTGGAAGGGAACATTCCTTCAGATAACCAGGCCCCGAACCTTTTAGGGCGTGAACTGTTAATGTTAGCACTTCGAATGGGCCCCGACTTCAATCCATAGTCCGCTTAATCACACAGGGGGTTAATTCCCCTCAGCACCACCATCTGGAGCTTTGTACCTCCCTTTTCACATGCCCTGTGACCTGAACGGGATCTCCCATGCACAGTTTGGAAACCACAGCTGGCAATGCAGATGTCAGAGAGCTTTCTCTATGAACCTGGGCTGTAAGAAGGTGGGGGGCTCGCTCGGAGCTGAAGCAGCACCCACCCTCTGATGCCTTGTATGCTCAACTTCTCTAATGCGATCAGGGAAATGAGGCTCTAGTCCCCTTGAGGATGCAGAAGGAGCCTTTCCTGCACCTTCAAGTCAGTACTACACCCACCAGTCTGACAACATGCAGCACAAGATTTCAGGGCCGGTGTAGGGAGACCCAGCGTGGTGCAGTGGTTAAGAGCGCAGCTCTGGGACCCAGGCGACATGGGTTCTAGTCCCCGCTCAGCCATGGAGCCAACTGAGTGACTTTGGGCCAGTCACAGACTCTCAGCCCAGCCTACCTCACAGGGTTGTTGTTGTGGGGATAAGATCCAGAGCAGCAGGAAGAGAATGATGTAAGCTGCCTTGAGTTCAAAAAAAAAAGAAGAAAGAAAAAGAAAAAAAGATGGGATATAAATCTAAGATATTAATAAATAAATAAGAGGTGAGATGATGTCATACATGCTCACCGGATGACTCTCATTTTACAATTTAGGTAACTTCCTTTGTGTGCGTACGAAGGCGCAAGCCCTCTTTTCAAATTTGCTGTTATTGACCTGTGTGTCACAAGGTGACGCGATCTCACAGTAGTGCTGTTTCCCCCACAAAGGATATTTCAGCTCATGCCACCCAATTCTGTAATTGGATTTTGGAAATGCAGTTTTGCAGAGACAGGGGGTTATTTGTGGCAGGCTTGTCAACACACATTTCCTCCGGCTGGCTGGCTGCATTCGATCCTCGCACTATCCTCCCATACGTGTTCCTGCTGGGAAATCTTCGGAGAGAAAAAGGAAGTTGACACATACGCCCAAAGTGCCTTTTTGGTTTCCTGCTAAGGATGACACATATGCCGGTGAATATGAAGCCTTCAGATGGATTCTTTTGTTCCTTGCTGTTGGATCGTGGGGGGGTTTTGCAGGTCTTTCAGAACTCTTCCCCACAAGGGACTCTCAGTGCTGATTGCTCCGATCGAAATCTGCTGCAGTGCAAGAAAGAAGCTTCTTCCAAGCCACGATTTATTTGTGCTACTCGCTGACATCTTTGGAAGGGCAAGAATATAATATTTTAGCAAGGTTTGTCTGTTCAAATGGTCAGTGGTGGATGGCAAAGCAGCTCAGGCATTCTTGTCCGCTCAGCTCCCCGTGCAAGGTACTGTCACCTGTTCTGGGGTTCACTGTGTGGAGTGCGAGGCGGCCACAGCCTGACTGCTGAGGCTGGGAGGCCCCTCCCTCGTTTGGGAGGCCCCCAAGCTGGGCTGTGGCCCAGGGGAGGAATGCCTGCTTTGCACGCAGAGGGTCCTGGGTCCATGCCCAGCATCTCCAGGTAGACATGGGGAAGATCCCTGCCTGGGGACTTCTAGAGAGCCCTGTAGCTCAGGGCAGGTCGTGCTGATTTGGTCCAAGGAATCGCACCCACAGACTGAAACCAGACATCTTTCAGGATGAATGGCAACCAGTCCTTTCCATTCCAGCAAAAGCTCTTCTCCATTTGATGAGAGTTGACTTTAGCGGTGAAGGTGCACCGTGCCTCCCTGGGGAGATGTGGCCTGCGGTTTGGCGGGATGGCATGACGGACGGTGGCACTGATGCTGTGGCATGTCCTCTCATTCTGTGCCTTCTGTTGCCACATGAGGACCTATCACTTTAGGGAGCCCTTAGATATAAGGCCTGCTCCAGCTCTACAGATGAGCTGGCTTTTCCAGACAGCTGCTGTCTGGCTTGCCTGCTGATTTTCTTCTTGCAAGTTTTTTATTGGGCTGTTTCGATCATTTATCAGTGTCTACATTCTTTTGCCTTGCTAAGCACAGTGGAACAACACCATACTCAATATTGGAGGGCTTACTCGGAGGCCCACGTCTGAGGGAGGCTTGGAAGGTGGCAACAAGGGGGAAGGCTTTCTCCGCGGTGTTCCCATCTATGGAACAACCTTCCCATTGTGGCCTACCTGGTGCCCACCTTGCCACCTTTGTGGCACCAGGCTTAGATGGCCATTTATGCTGAGGCGTTTAAAGATCCATTCAGATACCCAGGGCTGGAGGTGAGCACCCATCCAGGTGTTTTTATGGGAATGGCTGGTTTTGATATTTATGTTTTGTTTTTGATAAGATATTATGGCATTGGTTTCATATAGTATTGCAAACTGCACAGAGAGCTTGGCTATCATGCAGTGTAGCGATGATGATGATGATGATGATGATGATGATGATGATGATAGGGTAGTGCTAAGAGAAAGCCCTGCAGTAGAAATAAAGACGCACACAGCTTGAACACCTGGCTGGGGGAAAGTCTTGACTTCTACCTGCAGACATTGGCAATCTCCATGGAAAGCCTATTCCATAACCAGCCAAAAAGCTTCCCACTTGCAACCCGTCCCACCTCAGGGGAGTGAAGAGGGGCACCTTAGAGGCAGGCTAGGCTGAGGGTCGGTGACGAGCTCCAGGTCATCCAGAGAGCTGCATGGCCCTGGAGGCCAAAACCCGGGTGGCCAAGCACCTCGATGCTACACCACACAAGCACTTACCACACAACATCACACTGCTTGCTTCTTTGGAATGCATTGCTCTTGTTCCCTTCTCTACAACAAACATTTGCTCCAACCTCATACATGATCTGACTTCTAGCACTTCTGCCCTTTTGGGATTTCGGGATGGGTTGCTTTTGTATTTACATTTCTTTTATCTGTCAAGATAGGTGAAAATAAGACATGACTTGAATTTCAATTAGTCAAGCACTGGATCCAACTCTCCTTATTAAGGCCCTGGTGCCAAAAAATAGAACTGAAGGGCTGCTGAAGAAGGAATCTACCTCCCATTCCACTTCACTGTGTGTAAACAAACACCAAGCCCTCCGTGTGGACTTACCTGGCTTCATTATCCTTGTGCAAATACGATGTAAACATGGCAGATGAGGCGATCCTGAACTGGACGTCAGGTGCGATCGAAGGCCTTCTTAAACCACTGTAGTCCTTTTCCCTGCTGGACCTGAGGCATTTTCATAAGCAGGGACCAGTTCTTTTGCCCAGCGGGTGCTGCCGGATCCTTGCTGCATCACAACAAGCCGGATCGGAGGCTGGGTTTCCGCTGGAATCTCTGGAGCGTACTCCTTGCTTGGGTCTTTCCCTCTGCAGTCATACAGCACACAAGAAATCAGGAAAACCAAAAGCAGGATGACATAGCTAGCAACCAGTATGATCAGGTTCAAGGTAACTGGATCAATCTCCAAATAAAAATCCATTGGATCCCATAATATTTAGCAGAATCTCTGCAAAGGAAGTTGCATATATATACATATATGCATGGACTGGTGGAGCAGTTGCGAACTGATAGATGTATTGGCTCTGTGGTAAAAATACTTTAATCCTGTGCACTCTGTAGCTATGGATTTTTTTTCTCCTGCTCCTCCTGAACTGCATGATTAAAGCTGCTCAGTTTAATAACTTAAGCTCCTTCATTTAATGCCATGTTACCAACAGTGGCAGAAGCTAAATTTGAATGTTTCGTTGCCGTGTGATATGTAGCTTTTGGTATGAGCCTTATGCAGTTCCCCCACCCACCCCCGGGTGCCCTTTTCCCTGGAAATACTGAGAGAAAATGACCAGGGATTCTTTCAGAGGAGGGCTTTGTTGAAGGTGGGGCTGGGGGTGGCCAGGTCAAGACAAAGTTGTCTTCCTTTTGTAACTTTCCTGGGTTTCCCCACTGCTGCTCCCATCCTTTTTCTTCTCAGAGAAAACCCAATTAAGGAGCAGGTACAGGATGTCTTTTGACTGGTAGGAGTAAGAACCATCTGTCAGGAAATGAGTAGAGGAAGGCATCTGGTTTTGTGGTACAGTTCTGAAGGAGTTTTTGTAAGTTACTCAGAGTGCAATTACAAACACTAAATTTAAATCTAGTTTAACTGCTGTGGCTTTCTTTGAAGGAATTTGTAATTTTAATGATGCGAGGGCCAGGGGGTTTTTTGTTCATGATCCTCAGACATATCATTGGACTACAATTCCCTGGCTATGATATAGATTAAAAAGTTTGAAACTAATTTCAGTTTGTAGTGTAAATGCAGCCAGCATGTTCTTTTTGTACCTGAAAGCTGAACTTTTTCACATGGGGTATTTATTGAGTGCTCATGATCCCTCACTCACGGTTCTTCAGATGGTGAGGTAATCTTCCAATTTCACTTTTGGAAGAGCACTTGCTTCTTTTTTGTTTTTTTGTTTCAGAGTGGGGAAAATTATTCTTTCTGACTAAATGGAAGAATCTCTTGTAAATATAAGAGAGATTCCCCTATAGTCCAGTGTCATCCTGAGGTCATGTAGCAGAAAAGCAGGACAGGAAAACTTTGGCGTAGGACCTGGATCTCAATTAAAAGACCAAACCAAAAGTAGATAAGCTATTAAGACCATTGTGCAAAAAACAAACAAACAAACAAAAAATCACGGCTGTTACAAATACTGTGAGATCCAAGGGATGCACGTAAAAGCTGAGCTGAAAATCAGGAAGTCTCTGCAATAAAGCAATAACAGGTGACAATAGTAACTAACATGTGGTTAAGACAGTAGTTTCTATAAGGGTGGACAACTTGCATTCCTCCAGTTTCTTGGCCTACAAGTCCCATCATCCTGCACCATTGACTATGATGGCTAGGGCTGACAAGAGCTGTAGGTCAGAACATCTGACTGTCAAAGATTTGCCTACCTTTTCCTGGGGGTCGCTCTGAATTAAAAGATCACTGCCAGGAGAGAAATGAGAAGTCTGGACATGCATTTCTGTTTTGCTGAGCGCGACGTGGTCCATTCCAGTTTGGCCCGCTAAGACTCACCATGCCCAGCTGCATTACGGCAATGCAGCTGCAAAAGAGCTGGTTGTGGTAAGAACCAGACAGCTTGAAGCAGTGACTTTCCTTGCTTGCTTTGCTTTCTGCCTCCCTTGCCTTTTTCTCCTTTTCTGTCCTTGATGTGTAACCCTTCCTGGGAGCTTTTCTGGCTGCCCAGTGGGGCAAAAATGCTTTAAACAAACAAACAGTCAAACCCAATCTGGGTAGATATTTGTGATATTGTTGCAAGCCTTTGCAAAATCCTCGGGAGGAAATGCAGAGCTCAGCATTGGTCGTATCTTACGATGCATAAGCAAACAGGGAAGGTCAAGGAGTGGAATTTTTGCAGAGCTTTGGTGGCAAACTGAACACTGCCATGGGGGGAAAGGATTTGAGGCCACCAAAAGGGAGAGAATTCGGACCCAAACGGCTGTGACAGTAAATGTGCCACCCTGACAAATGTCAATTTCTTTCCTTTGGCCATAGCAGCCACGGAGGGAGCCCAGTGAGTTAACCCTCCCCTCCGCCTGCCAAGTTTCAGTAGCTATATGCCTGGCTACCAATAGAAGCTTCCCTCTTGGGACTAATAGTATTTGGGGAGGGGCATGGAAACTCTAGCCTCCCCACGCTTCCAAAAAATAAAATAGAAAAAAGAACACAGTCAGCAACTGCGTTTGAAATAAAAACAGCAGAATCAAGGGGCCAACTCAAAGCATCTTTTTCAAGGCCTGCAGAAATGAAGTGCTGTAAAGACAGGGAGGTGGCTCCCAAAGCTGTGGAGAGCAAGGCATGGCTGGGGCACCCCAGGCCAAAGGGACCCTCCAGGGCTGCTGCCTCAGAAAGGGCAAAGGGCAGCTGAAAGGCCTCTCAGCAAGGCTGCAGTGTGACGCACTGAGGGAAAGCCAGAAGGCAAAGCAAGGCGTCTGGGATAGAAATGGTTTCCTGGTGTAAGGGACAGAGGACCCCACTATCCATGGATAAGAGGAGAGCGTAGATTGTTTCCACGCAGAAACTGGAGCATAACATTGTCAGCCTGACAGGTCATGGGATCAGGAATTTATATACATGCAAACCAAACATATGTATGAGGGGTCTTTTGGCTTTGAGTTCTGGATGCAGAGGAAAACTTGATACCCCCAAAGGCAGAGACAGTCAAGGACAGCAACCAGGTCTTTGAAACCAATTTTGTGCCTTATGAAAGAAGAATTTGGATTGAAATAAAATCACACATCCAGGGAAGTAGAACAGCACGTAGTCGTGAAGATGACAAAAGATAATGAGCATTTAAAGAGAATGGAGAAGTTAGGGATACGGGGTTGCACAGAAAACCAAGTGTGTGTGCGTGCACGTGTGTGTGATCATGAAGAAGGGGAAAGTGTCAGCTAGGGGTCATTTGAATGGGGGAGAAACAGACTGTTGTGGGGTATTGTGAGAAAGTTTTGGGCAAAGTGGCTGCAAGCCCAGGGGCAGGAGCAAATCCTTAAAGCGAGCCATGCCTTGTCAGTTTCTGGGTTTATAAACCACCCTGAAAAAAGCAATGATGGGTTCAGATAACTTGTCACGTGAACCCAGTTAATGAATTCTTTATTTTAATTTCAAATGAGTTTAAACAAAGAGGTTAGAAACATTTTTCTTTGCTGGGGGCTTTTTGGTTGTAGTCCCGGGGAGACAGCCAACATCTCCAGTGTTAACATGAGGGGATTCAGGCAACTGGAGAACAATGGCTGGCCAGAACATGATATCTGTGAAGTCTCCAGCTCCCCTTGGGATGTGCATGGCCTGAAGAGCCTTTATGGCCTGCTTTTTAATTATTTTGCTTTCTTCCCAGACCAAAAATTCCCAGTCCCCTTCCAGATAGAGGCTTCTTCTTCCCAAAATGCTCCATAATACCTCCCATGGTGGGAGAAGTTGAACCAACATCCAAATGTACCTGCTTCCTGACAGGGCTGCTTGTGGATTGCCTCATAATTTCAGTTCATTCTCTCTCCGTCTCTCTCTCTCTCACACACACACACACAACTGTGTATAAGACCACAGTTGCTTATAGATCCTCCAAAGGAATGAGTGAGACGTTTATTGAGCACTGTGATTTTTAGCTATAAAAGCACTCAGAATGCAATGAATATTGATACCGTTTGATTCCTAATCCAAATGAATTATTCCAGAAGGAAACAGCATTGACAAACTGATGCAAAAGGCACCCTTGCCGCTAAAAAGGTTGTGTGCTTTAAATGCAGCATGAAAAGCACCACATTTTTTTTTTCATGGTCATAAAACCTCCTATAAAAGGAAAAATGGCAGATCAGTCCAACTGGAGATACTCTTTGGAGTAGCCTTCCGCCTTTTGAGACCCAGTGGAGGGAGCCATCTTTACATAGAACATGCCCCAAGGGGCTCACTTCTCCTCTTCCTACAGGACTGAGGCTGCTGCTTTGGTCCAGCTTTGATCAGGTTGTGACCCAGCAGCTGATCCAGTTGGAGAACAGTGCTTTAGATGTCATCTCAAAACCATCCACTTTAAGTAAGGGCATACACTTCAGTGGATTAAGTGTTTTATTTCTAGGCCATCTAGTGGTGATAGCATCTGCCACAAAATAATTTGAATGAAAGAAATGTTTTTCTTGCAAACAGGTTCAGCTCCAGCCAGCACAACCAGTTATCTTGATATAAAAGTCCCAGGTTTTCACATAACCTTTGGACAGTCTTACTGGTTCACGCCTATACTAGATGTGACATGACATGCAGTTCCATATATCCATGGGGCTCCTTATCCATTTCAGCTTTTATTCTGAGCTTTCAGGAACTATCTCTGGTACCTATTCTGGGGACAGAGTCCAGCACCATGGGTAGCTCCCATAAATCTCAGAATGGGTGCTGAAATAGGAGAAGAGCCCCACGGACACAGGGGAGACCAACTTCTCCTGCATGCATCTTCTTCCTTGTGCACAGGACAGTGGAATAACTAGGACAAGCCTTCGCCAGAGAAATGGCAGAAAAGAAAAGAATGGAGCGACTCCTCTGTTGCTCAGCACCTCTGGAATAGAACGTACTGGGACAAGGATGGACAATCAATCCAACCCGTTAGACAGCAGCTTTCTATCTCCCGTTGAGTGCCTAGTCCTTACTGGCTGAGCCCAAGGTACCCGGTAGAGTGTCTTTTCCCTTATGCACCTGGCTGCATGTTAAGATGGCCTATCCTGCCCTCCTCTGCTAGGACGAGAGGAGAGGAAACGGGCCTTTGCTTTTGGCATCCTTTTTAGTGTCTCTGTCTTGCAGACATTGTTTTCTAATTTATTATTATTATTATTAGAACATTTCTATGCCGAAGCCTTGGGGCGGCTTACAACACAATAAAATACGATAAAATACAAAAATAACAATATAAAATTAAAATTAACAACATATAATAAATAAAAAATATAAAAGATATA